TTCCTCTTGTAACCATCTTTGACCAATTCTCATTCTGTTAGACTCTCTTAGACGATAGCAATAGATAGCCATCTCCCTGTAACTCCTTCTCCCCTTCTTCTGTTCTCTTCCATTTCGCCAGATTAATAAAGCAAGATCCTCACAAGTGGTATCAGAGCCCCAAATCTGGCCATGGCTACACTAAATTCTCGTCTCTCGGAGCTGGAAGAACAGATGAAGACCGTCCACCATAAGATTGATTCATCTACTAAACGGATGAAGGATGCCATCGCTGCTCTTTCGGCGTCTGTGCAAAAGCTCAGCCAATCGTCGCCAGTTCGTGCCTCTTCTTCAACGGACCCGGGCGAATCGTACCAGCGAAGGCAGACGATCGCCGATCGCTATCCCCGACTCGATTTCTCCTATTTCTCCGGCACCGATCCACATGTGTGGGTGACCAAATGCAGCAAGCTCTTCTCCCTCTATTCCATTCCGGATGATCAGAAGGTCGAGCTCGTATCTTTCTTTTTGGAAGGTCGAGCTCACACCTGGTATGACGGTTGGACTTATCGTCATCATCCATTGGAGTGGGGAGCGTTTGTGGAGGAGCTCCTTCATCACTTTGGCGATCACGATCAGTTCAATGTCGTCGCCGCGTTCAATCATCTCCGCCAAACAGGATCTGTGGCTCGCTATCAGGAGGAGTTCGAGAACCTCAAATCGCGAATGCTCCGTCTCAATCCGGATCTCGGTGAACAATACTTCATCATGAGTTTCATTGGCGGTTTAGATGCCGAGATCCAACCCTTGGTCCAAGTGCTGCATCCTATCACTCTCGGCTTCGCCTTCTATCAGACTCGTTTGCAAGAGGCTGCGATTGAAGCCAGGAAGAAGAAATCGCACCTTCCTTCGCGTTGGCCGGAGGCGGTTCCAGCGTCCACGAGCAAGAAGCCGGATTCTCAGTCCTCATCCACAGTTTCCTTGGATCGATCTTCCGTGTCGCGGGGTCAAGGCCTCTGTTACAAATGCGGTGATAAGTACTTCTATGGTCATGTGTGTGTAAAAAGGAAACAACATCTTCAATTGATGGAAGCAGAGGTTGATTCCACTGGTAGCGACGATGAGGTTGTGGATCTCAACTCCACTGGTCCAGAGTTGGAGGTTTCGCTCCAATCGATCGGCAATGGTCGCGCAGGGAACTCTTTCCAAATGCATGCGAGGGCTAGACAAGTTGATTTGTCGGTGTTGATCGATACGGATAGCAGCCATACCTTCATCCGCTCTGCCAAGGCTGCTGAATCGAAGTGCAAGTTGACGGTGGCGCCGCCGATGCGAGTTAAAGGCGCAACGGGTGCTCCGATCATCAGCAACTCAGTTTGCGAGGGTTTCCGCTGGAAGATGCAGGGCAAGGAATTCGCCTTCGATGTACGGACTCTGGAATTAAGGGATCAGGAACTCATTTTGGGCTGGGATTGGCTGGAATCTCTGAGCCCAATCCAGCTGGACTTGAAGCAACGTCGTCTCTCTTTTGAGTGGCAGGGCCGAAACATTACTCTACAAGGTTTGACGAATGAAGCCCATTGTCGAGTGATGAAGGGCCGCTCCTTTAAGCAGCTGATGAAGAAGAAAGTTACACAGCTCACCGGAATGCTCTTCTCCTTAGAACCAGCGTTGGATCCCTCTCCTTCTCCACCCTTTCTTCAACCCTTACTCGACGATTTCTCAGATGTCTTCTCCATTCCATCTTCTCTCCCTCCACCGAGAGCTCTAGACCATGCCATTCCTCTTAAACCAAATTCCAAACCCGTAAACATTCGTCCCTACAAATTCCCTCACCACCACAAAGAAATAGCCGAGAAGATGGTTGCTGAAATGTTGCAATCTGAGTTCATACAGGACAGCCATAGCCCATATGCTTCTCCTGTTTTATTGATTGGCAAGAAGGATGGTACGTGGAGGTTTTGTGTGGATTACAGGGAGCTAAACGAGACTACGGTGAAGGACAAGTTTCCCATACCCATTATTGAAGATTTGATCGATGAACTCCATGGGGCTCGTCTGTTCTCCAAGCTGGATTTGCGATCGGGTTATCATCAAATCCGTATGAAGCCAGAAGATCAGTATAAAACGGCATTCCGCACTCACCAAGGTCACTATGAATTTCGGGTGATGCCGTTTGGGTTGACGAACGCACCTGCGACGTTTCAAGCTCTGATGAACAAGGTGTTTGGTCCGTATCTCATGAAGTTCATTCTCGTTTTTTTTACGATATTTTGGTCTATAGCGCCTCTCCATAGCTCCATCTACAACATCTCTCCATTGCTCTGCAGCTGTTGCGAGACAACAGGTTATTTGCTAAACTCTCTAAATGTTCATTTGGGCAACCGCAAGTTGAATATCTGGGTCACACTATCGGGGAAGGAGGTGTGGCTACTGATAGGAGGAAGATTGCAGCTATGATAGATTGGCCGCGACCAAAGTCTGTCAAGTCTCTCCGTGGATTTCTGGGTCTTACGGGATATTACAGGAAATTTGTGCGTAATTACGGAACAATTAGTCGGCCTTTGACAGAGTTATTGAAGAAGAATGGTTTTGTCTGGTCTCAAGCTGCTGAAGAAGCTTTCATAGCATTAAAGAGGGCATTGAGTTCAGCCCCAGTTCTAGCCTTACCCAATTTCGACTTGCCCTTTACCTTGGAGACTGATGCTTGTGGTACGGGAGTGGGTGCTGTGTTATCTCAGCAGGGCCATCCATTGGCATATTTTAGCAAAGCTTTGGGGATCAGAAATCAAGAGCACAGTACGTACGAGCAGGAGTATTTGGCGGTATTAATGGCTGTGGATCATTGGCGATACTACTTAGAAGGCAGGCCATTTGAGATTATTACTGATCATGAGAGTTTAAAGTACATGCTTGGACAGAAGGTACATACGGCAATACAAAAGAAGGGTTTAATCAAACTCATGGGGCTGGAATTTCACATCAAATATCGTCGAGGGAAGTATAACGGGGCAGCAGATGCACTCTCTAGGGTGTTTGACGACCAGGTGGAATTGGGTGACTGCAATGCTCTTTCTACCGTTCTTCCTGAGTGGTTAGTTGATATTGAAGCAACTTATGAAGGTGACTTGGAGCTCTCTCATCACATTGTTGCTGCTGCTTCTCAGAATACAGGACCACAGTTATGGTCATATTCGCAGGGGGTTTTAAGGTTCAAGGGCAAGGTAGTTGTGGGAGCCAATGGTTTCATGCGCCAGAAATTGATGAGGCTGTTTCATTCATCACCAGTAGGGGGTCACTCCGTAGTGCAGGGGACTTGCCAAAGGTTGAGGTCTTTTTTTTTTTGGAAGGGTATGAGGAATGACATTGCGGCATGGATTGGGAAGTGTGATGTGTGTCAAAGGTGCAAGGCAGAGACAGTGGCTTCTCCAGGATTCTTGCAGCCTCTGCCCATTCCCGATAGAGCTTGGAAGGATATCAGCTTAGATTTTGTTGAAGGGCTGCCGCAATCAAAAGGGAAAGATGTCCTGCTGGTGGTGGTTGACCGTTTTACTAAGTTCGCCCATTTCTTTCCTCTGCAACATCCTTATTCAGCTGCTGAAGTTGCTCAGACTTTCTTTGATGGTGTCTTCAAGCATCATGGTATGCTTGCCAGCATTGTGTGGACCGTGACTCTACCTTTACTGGGGGCTTTTGGACAGAATTCTTCAGGCTGCAGAATACTGATCTCCATTACTCAACGGCATACCATCCACAAACGGATGGACAAACGGAGCGGGTGAATCGTTGTCTTGAAGATTATCTTTGGTGTATGACCTTTCACAAGCCTCAAGATTGGATCTACTGGTTGACATTGGCAGAGTGGTGTTATAACACGCACTACCATGTGAGTATCCAACTCTCTCCTTTTGAGGCTCTCTATGGCTTCCCTCCGGATCACTTTGGTCTCTTCAGTTCTTCTTCTTCTTCGGTCGGGGCGGTGGAAGAACGTCTGCAGGCCTATCATCATCAAGTTGCATTCTTAAAGCATACTCTGACCTTAGCACAGAATAGGCAGAAACAGTTTGCAGATAAACGCAGGTCGGAGCGTGTCTTCAAAGTGGGTGATTTTGTCTATGCCTTCAACCATACAGACAAGGCTCCGTAGTGGGGAGGCAGGGCAGCAATCTTGGACCTCGTTATTTTGGTCCTTATAAGGTTTTGGCTCGGCGGGGGGAAGTGGCTTATGAATTGGAGCTTCCGAGGTCATCCAAAATCCACCCGGTGTTTCACGTTTCTCAGCTGAAACGTTGCTTGCTCATCGTTCCACCTGCTGCGACTGAGCTGCCTGAAGTGGATGATCATGGCACACCAAAGTTGGCACCAGAGACCATCCTTGCCCGCCGCTTTGTGGAGGAGCAGAACCGTGCGGTGACTCAGATTCTGGTACACTGGACGCATCAATCTCCTGCTGATGCCACTTGGGAAGACTTGCAGTCATTCAAGGCTCGTTTTCCTGCGTTTCCAGCTTGAGGACAAGCTGAATTTGAAGAGGGAGGATTTGTAAGGTCCAGGCTACTATAGAGGATTGCCAGCTAAGCAGGAGACAGTTCGAGAATGTATAAATAGAAGAGTTGATTCCTCTTGTAACCATCTTTGATCAATTCTCATTCTGTTAGACTCTCTTAGAAGATAACAATAGATAGCCATCTCCTGTAACTCCTTCTCCCCTTCTTTTGTTCTCTTCCATTTCGCCAGATTAATAAAGCAAGATCCTCACACCACCTGATTGTATGCTTTTTCCAAATCGAGTTTTAGGGCCATCCATTTATCTTGACCTTGTGCTTTCGTCTTGAGTAAATGCATGACCTCCTGAGCAAGGCTAGACTGGGATAGGTACGAAGCGGCGAATCTAGTAGGGCGAGGGAGTTTGCTGAGCCTAATCGTTGTTGCGAATTTGAACGACGAATCAAGCCAGGCTTCCCATCTCAAAGCCAGCCATCAATTTTGCTTAAACACCACATGTTCGTCAAAATTCCCAAATGAACTCGCGGCGCTTCAGATTCATCCTTGCCGGTATTCCTCTTCTCCAGTTGCCCTCGGCTGCCCGCACAGTCTCTAGTTCGTCGCAGTCCCTCCAGCAAGCAATTAGAACCGCAGTTGAGGAGAGGACCTATCAACGAATCCCGGACCTTCTCGGTTCATCAAACGTCCCATGGCAGAACCCAAATCCTTTCTCCTTCCTTTCCACTTCCCCGCTACAGGTCAGAACTCAAGTTATCGACGACATTTTGCAGTCGTTCATCCCTCTCAGGCCCCGCTCTCTCCCCAAGATTGTTTACGACTGTCTTCTCGCTTACACCCTTCAGAGTCCCGATCCCTTCCCCCTTGCCCTCGCTGTCCTCCAGCGCACCCTTCGTTCGGGTTGTTTGCCCGTTCCACAGACTCAGCTCTTCCTCTCTTCCGCCTGGCTTGCTCGCCGCCGGCTATCTCAGACAGTTGCAGATATTCTCCACGAGATGAGGTCGATTGGGTATGACCCTGATACTGGAACTTGTAATTATCTCATTTCGTCTCTCTGTGCTGTGGATCAATTGCCGGAGGCTATGAAAGTCTTAAAGGGCATGGCTCGAGCAGGTTGCGTTCCTGATTTGGAGAGTTATGTACCTGTGATTGGTGCGATGTGCGTCGTTAGAAAAACTGTTGATGCCTTGGAACTGCTGAAGGAAATGATGGTTACAAGTGGATTGACGCCACGGCAGGGAACTATAAAGAAAGTCGCAGCAGCGTTGCGAGCAAACAGGGAGATACGGACAGCATTTGAACTGATTGAGTTCTTGGAGAAGGAAAATTATGCAGTTGGGTTCGAGGGTTATGAGCTGGTTCTGGAGGGATGCTTGGACTGCAAAGAGTATATTTTGGGTGCCAAAGTAGCTATGCGAATGACAGAAAAAGGGTTTATACCGTATATTAAGTTCAGGCTGAAGGTTGTTCAGGGTTTGATTGATGCAGGCCAGTGGAAATTGGCTTGTGCAGTGAGACAAAGATTTGCAGAACTGAGTTCTTAGCTTTGCATGCCTTGTTATTCGGCAGGTTTGCTGAAATAACAGGGCTTGTATTTTGCAAATTTGCAGCCAAATCAGAGTATGTGAATTGTGAAGTATCCAATCTTATCTTGTGTCATCGGTGGGGATAAGCAATCTAGTGAGGTTTTCATTGGTTCCGTTGATGGGAATGGAGTTCCTGAGTCTAGTTCAGACTCTAGGTTCGCTGTTGGGTCTGCTTTTACCACGGGTGCGGACTCTGAGAATAGTGTAGTGAAGACTAGAGTAGTAAATTGTCAACATCAGCCCGTGCTCCAAGGGGCAGGGAATGACATTGGTGATGGATCGGAATATAGGCGGGAGAAGAACAGAATCAAACCTTTGCCTGCTAAGTTTGCTGGAAGTTTAGTTCAACATGGTCAACAAGGGAAGGGACATGTGGAGAGTAGTAAGAAGTTATGGGAGAGAGGGCCAAGACTTGGAAAGAAAACTCTCATCCCAGCATGGAATCTGATTCTAGAAGCTCCGAAGTTGTTTTTACTCGAGGCCTTTTCTCGGTGACCAGCAATGGAAAACAGCATGAATCATCAGTGTATTAAGGTGGAGATCTCAATTAGCAGTCTGCCCTTTTTGGGAGCTTTCAATTAGCAGTTGTTGTTCGTGGATCTGGAAGAAGGTTCTCAAGACCAGAGATAAGGTGGGACATCTGATTACTTGCTGGAACAATCAGGTGTTCTGGAATGGCAAAAATATGCTGAAGTTTTCAGTGAAAATGATTTGGAATGATTTGTGGAACTCAGCTCGCAAAGTCCCCTGGTATTCATTGGTCGGAGGACAGTATGGTGTGCCTAGGCATAGTGTCATAAGCTGGCTGGTCATCAAGGATAGAAAGTACTCTAGAAAAATTGAAGGCCTGGGGCAAGATCTCTGATGACAGTTGTACACTCTGTGGGCTTGGACAGGAAACAAGAGAACACCTTTTCTGTCAATGTACCTACTCTAGAGCTGTGTTGCAGAGTTGTTTTCAGGCCATTCACCTACAACGAGTATCTTTTCAGGCTGTTTGATCAGTGTTTGCAGTGGGCAGTTCTGAAGTTTGGAGGTAAGCAACCTTTCGCTAAAGGTTGGGAGGCTGCTATGGAACCTAATAACCAGCATGTTGTGGAGAGAAAGGTACAACAGGTGTCATGGTAAGCAAGGGCTAGAACCTTCTCTACTAGTACAGAAAATCGGAAGGGCATTTGAATTCATGTGCCTGGGAAATGCTAATTTGCAGGATGATTGTTTAGCAATTGGTCTGTGACCTGCAAAATTCTTGAATTTCAAGGTTGTCGTATGAATGATGCTTGGGTGCATAAATAGTTCATTTATTCCAAAATCGGGAAACATGTTGACTATGTCCTTGCAGAGTACTTGCTGCTGCTGCAAAAAAGATCAGGCAATCGAGATGCTGAAGGTAATAAGTTTCTGTATCACAGGTTGTTTAAAAGCGATGCTTTTAGCAGATGGTATTATAATATTTGGGTTCGGTTTCTCAGGTGCTAACGGAGTGGCTAAGAATGGAGCAGATAGTTCTAAGATAGGACGTACCATTCCAGATATATGTGTAATATGTCTCGAGCATGAGTACAATGCTGTGTTTCTCCGGTAAGTAAGTATGGCGCCCATTTTTTACACATGCTTAAACAGTACAATGCTAGTGACTTTCAGCGGTTCCAGCAGATGGGATTCTATGTAATACATTGCCTTGTATGTCGTGGTCGTCGTTGTTGTTGTAGTTGGTTTGCTCTTGTCCACAACTCTTGAATCTTAACCCTGATTACTGGTAGTAGCTAGTAGTTGTTTTGCTGTTAACCCTTTCCCCTCTGTGTTCTTCCCCATCCACTACCATCATCATCTCGTGTGGTTTCTATATATTTGAATCACACACTTTAATTCGTCTGGTTTCATATTTAATTAACCAATAGGAATCGCCATTTGGAATTAAGGAGCCGATGGTAGATCTCAAACTAAAAAGAGAAACAACTGAGTGGATTACAGGAACCCAGAAGCGAAGAAAGAAATGAACTAATGGTGGAATATTCGTATGGAAAATGTTGGCTTGGCAATAGCATGGCAGCACTTCATCTGCGCTTTTTAACTTTATATATCGAGAGAGATCGAGAGAGAGAGAGAGAATTCGGTTTTGGGCGGGCAGGCAATGCATGAATGGGATGTGAGCTAACTGAGGAATCGAATCTGGCTGCCGCGAGACTTGTTGTTGCGTGTCTATAGTGAAAATAAAATGCATGTGGAGCTGCTTCCGCCTTAAGGCACATTTCCTACAATCCATTTTTTTTTTTTTTTTTTGTGGCCATCCTTAGAACTCAAGGTGATAGTTTCCAATGTCGTTTGGTAAGCACGTAATGTAGAATTCATGTATTTGAAGAATTCATGTATATTGTAGGTTGAGTTGTGAGAACTTGTGTAATATTAGAATGCATTGTTTGTTTGCATGAGTTCATGGTAGAACCCACATAATTTGGCATGAAATCTCAAATACTTTGGGTAAACCCAAAGCATTTGAGATATCATGGTCACATGAATTCTAGAATTACATGGTGCACCAATATCATGGTATCTGTCCAAAAATGAAACAAGAAAAACAGTGAAATCACAAAGATAATGTAATCTTGTACAATGTCGTTTGCTTACCAAATGAAACAAGAAAACTTAACATTGATTATTTAAGTTTTCTTAGACTCTCTTTGTTGTTTTTTTTGTTTGTGCTCCGAAGCGTAGCTCCCACATTCCTCCTATTCTCGATCGTCGCGATTATCTTGATGAGCACTTAGCATATGTACAAGCAGTGCACCGGACTAAGTTAACCCGTTAGTTCTCCAACGATCAAGTCAGGAGAGTTTCAGTCGATAAGTAAAGTCTTAACATGTTGGCTCCGTAATTAATGCAGCTTGTGCCCGAAATGTCAAAAGGAAAAAAAAGGAGAAGGCAGAGGGATCATTGAAAAATAAAACCTTTACCCTCATTAGTCCTCAAGAATCCGATACCATCCTGAACTGATGATGGCTGCCTCCCTCCTCCAGCTCCCTTTCGCAATTGGTGTCTATTGAAATCGTCAAAAAACCTAAACAGAATGAGATCCCAATCATTTTTATCACTTGCTCAAAAAAAAAAATGGTAAGTTACATTTCGGCCCATATACTATTCACTTTCTTCAAACAAACCCATGTATTAGAAAACTTAGTAAGTTTAAGTCACTAGACAATGTAGGGGTCGTTTGGAAGTTGCGATTGTTAAATAGATGTATTGTTGAGAATGCATGTATAATATTATGCATGTATTGTCGACTTTGATGCATTGTAGAATACAACTTTTGGTTTGTGTGATTGTGTATGTCGCATCAGCTAAAAGCTGAGACAAAACAATCTCAACTCAACAATCTCAACAATCACAACTAAAAGTTGAGATATAACAATCACTCAAAATGAGTGATAGTTTTGTCACATCACAGAAACAATCCATGTATTGTTTCTGCTAAAAAAACAAAAAAAACGATGCATTGTAAACAATACATGCATAATGACAATCTCAACAAAACTATCGCAACTTCCAAACGACCCCGTAGATTTTTTAAACCACTCTCTCTGTGTTTTTTCTTCCACCTATTGGTTATTGCTTTGCGAGGATCCCACACTCTACCGAGTTCGACTCACTCAACATCTCTTGTGAGTATTACATCTACCTATCCTCGAAAATCATCCTTTGGAAGGACAAACAAACCATCCCAACCTTAGCCTATTTAGTAAAATTCTTTCATTTTAAGAATAAAATGTTCAAGCACCTCGAACGAAAAAGTTCGCTATCATAGTATTCACCCAAAAAATGAAAATGATTCATTATCATCTTTAATGAGCCCACAACTTCACATTTAATTTGTGGCCAACAAGATTCTCACAAACTCCTCTTTACTCGTTGAGAATTTTCTTCTCACACATATTAGAACGACTAGAAACGTGATTATATATGAGAATTACGCCGGCCGAGATTGAAACGTCATCGGCACGCATTAACAACACTAGTGGATACTATGGAATTGAGTTTGTTTGGTTGCCCTCCTTTAGCGGATAAAAAGAAAATAATTTTCCACCAAAGCGAGTCTGTAGATCGAGTGTGGGGCTTATATATCAGATCACAAAAGATGTACGAACAACTAGACGGAACTGTAATTCGAAAAAAATTACATAGTTGAGGGGGCTTAATTGTATATTTTTATAACATATGGGCCTACTCAAAGAAAGTGGGTATTTAGTAAAGGGGATTGCTATTCGTCGCCCTAAATATTCTTATTCGTCGCCCTAATTAAGATAATTTTACAGTAATGCCCTTAGTTTTTTTTTTCTTTCAAACACTTAAATCCTAAAATAATCACACATCCACTCTCGCCGGATTCTGCCAACCTCACCGGATGCCCAATCGTCGTCATCAATGAAATTTGCTTCCCTTCCCTTCCCTGTATAAATCTTGGTCGTATAGGTTAGGCTTCTCGTAAGAAATATAATCATATATTAACATGAGATGACGAACCCCACTTTAAGAATTTCGTCATGTACTGCTAAATCCTCCTTCCTCCATTTTCCTTTTGCTCGACACCAATGGGAAGAATAGTAGCGGGGATCGGACGGCGGACAGGAGCAGTTCTTGGGCGGCGGCGGGGAGCAGTCTAGGGCGGCGACGACGGTGGCGGCATTATTTTGCCAGATGTGAGGGTCGGGTACCTTGGGGTTGACGGATTATTTGGTAGGGTTCTGTTTAGAATTGGGGTTAGGGGTAAATATGTCAATTTAGTGTGGTTTAGCGCGTTTTTTTTTTAAATTTTAGGGCGACGAATAGCAATTCATAATGGGTCAAGAAGTCACTACTTAATCTATTAAAAAATAGATCACAATGTGTTGCTTGGAAGGTTTGCAATGAGTGATTATAAGGAATCTAATGATGGAGCACCCAAAACCAAACACTATAAAACGGCAGCAATCCACTTCCAACCCTCTCATCCCATAATCAAAGAACTCACTCCATGGAAAACAACAACTACTGCGGCCACAAAGGGTGCCCAGTGGTGAATCACATGTGCAGAAGGATTCACCGAGCTGCATTCGGCCATCAAGCTCCCCGCCGCAGTTCTGCCACGGCGGCGGCGGAATCACCTGTTCTCCCAACCACGATAAGGGTCATCAACATCCAATCCAAACCACCACCGCAGCCACAACATAACAGAGCTGCTGCTGCTGTATCATTCGAGCAACCCAACGGCCACCAGAGGTCAGGGATCGACATCGAGGACAGGTTCAGCGATTACATCGGTCGCGTCAGGAAGAGGCTCAGGACGCTGTCCACCGCCGGAGGCGACAATCGCTACAACAACTATGAGAAGCGCAATTCAGGGGTTGGGAGAGACAGCAAGTTCTCTGACTATATCAGTCATGTAAAGAACAAGTTCAGCCGTACCTCGACTACTTCAGCTGCTGCTGCTACTGCCAAACCCAGGTCATGGATCAAGTGATGGATCGATCGACTTGGTACTACTTGCGTTCATTTGAAGTTGATTCCCTTTGTCCCCTCGTTGCTATTGTGTATTATGGTCTTGATTTCTATCATCTTGTTAATTTGTGTGCTCAATCGATCTCCTTCCTTAACGGATTTACCCCGGAACAATATCGGCTTGGTTGTTTCTTTTTTGCATCGATATATACTATACTAGTTTAGTGCCTGCCGGTTGCCCGTGTTGTCGATAATTTCAATGTAATATATTTATATTTTTGTATTTTAATTTTATATATAATCCTCTTAAATTGTAGGGCTAATACCACTACAACACCCGAACTATGACAAAAATGTCACTTGTGTCCTATTCTTTTCAATATTTCATTTCTATCCTGAACTAGTTTTCCGTTAATATTGACTGGCTTTGACCGTTAGTATTTAACAGAAAGTTTAGTCAACGCTGACGTGGCATCTGACATGAAATTTTAAATTCAATTATTATTTTTAACCAAAATTAATAAAATTACAAAATATAAAATAAAAAAATAAAAAAACTTATACGTTCCATCTCTCCTCTTGTCCCTCTCTCCTCTCCTCCCTTCGACGATTCCCCTTATTCAACGAACAGCTTCGTCGCCCAGAACTTCTTCGAGGATGGAATCGATGTTGTTCTCCTTCCTCCACCGCAGGGTCTTCCTCGACTATGACAAAGCCCTATGCCCCCTGTCCTGAGTGTTGGAAATCGATCGAGAAGAACGAAGTCGGAGTCGGGCTGGGGTCCGGAAGAAGAATCGAGATTGGGATTGAAGGATAAAGTTAGGGATCTGAGATTTCAGATTTGGGTATGCAAATCCAAATCCGAGAAGAAAGTTAGAGAGGCCTAACTGGCAGCGGCGAAGAAACCTGGGTCGGTGGATTTGTGGGAGAACTCAATTGAAGGGATTGAGAAGACCAAATTCTTGATCTTGGTAGATCTTCTCTACTCTGAACCTCCAGTGATGAACGCACTAATCCTGAATCATCGTCCTCGACGCGTGGTTGCAACAATAGCTAACAGTCTAGTAGCAACCAACTACTTCGCCAACGAAAACTTGCTCGGATTCGACGGGTTCTTTGAGTTGATTCTATAGATCTAGGTCTTTTGAGAGGCACTGATCGCAGGGAGGGCAGAAAGCGTAGGGTGGGGGAGGGGACTTCTGAAATTCCTGCAAGCACTTTAGAGACTTTGGAAATTCCGGCAACAACAGCCGCAATCTTCTTTTTACCAGCTTAATCATCGACTCCAAAGAGCCTCTGCCCTGGAGACGAAGACCTCTAACCCCTATTAAGTAATTTTTTGTTTTTATTTTTAGTAATTTTGTTGACGTGGCGTCTACGTGGATGCCACGTCAACAAAAGTCAATATTACTTTGACCACCATCCGGTCAACCGTTATCTTTAATAGTCAATCATCAGGATACAAGTGACACACAAATATAATACTGAATCGCTAAATGTCGCCCTAAGAATTGCTAAATGTCGCCCTAACTTACAATTCAATTTACCTATATACCCTTAATGAAAATTCAAAAAATAGGCCAACCAAACAGCCCTTCCACCTTCTCCCTCTGCAAAATCATCCCGCTGCCGGAGACCCCTTCATCCCGCCGCCGGACACCCTCTGCATCCCGCCGCCGGAGACCCTCTGCATCCCTCCGCCGGCCCGCCAAGTTGCCGCCGCGGCCAGTCGCCGCTCGTCCCGCCGACGCCCGCCAATCGCCGCTCGTCCCGCCGCCCGCCTCGTCCCGTCGCCGCCCATCTCGCGCTCCACAGTCGCGCCGGAGAAGAAGAAGGTAAAAAAAAAAAAAAATTCAACCGCAGTCAAACCGCGGTTAGACCGACGGTCAACCGCGGTCAACGCGCGGTTGAACCGACGGCTGACCGCGGTCAAAGGGCGATTGACCAATGGTCAAACCGCGCTTTAACCGCGGTCAGCCGTCGGTTCAACCGCGCGTTGACCGCGGTTGACCGTCGGTCTAACCGCGGTTTGACCGCGGTCGAATTTGTTTTTTTTTTAAATTCTGTTTTTTAATATTCTGTGTTTAAATAAATGTTATTAATAATAAAAAATTAGTTATATGATATAAAAATTTAAAAAACATTTTCGATAAATGTTAATTAATGATAACAAATTTAAAGAACATAATAAAAAAACTAAAAATTTTAATAATCAAAATTTAAAAGTAATTCGTTTATCTACTTAATTATTAATAATTTTACCTTGATTAATTATTTACTTTTATGTAAATAATGATTACATAGAACGTAACGTAAATAATGATTACATGGAAATCTTAAATTAATTACTTTATGTACTCTATTATTAATAATCCATTATTAATAATTCAAACGAAAAAATCATAAATCATATAAAAAATAGAAAATTATTCAACGAAAAAAAACCCAAAAAATGCCCAACCGCAAGTGACCTGCGGTTGGACCATGGCTGGACCGCAAATCACTTGCGGTTGTACCATGGGTGGACCGCAATTGACTTGCGGTTGGACCATGGGTGGACCGCAATTGACTTGCGGTTGGACCATGGCTGAACCGCAGGTGATTTGCGGTCCGGCCATGGTCCAACCGCAGGTCATTTGCGGTCCAGCCATGGTCCAACCGCAGGTCATTTGCGGTTCACTTTTTTTTTTTTTTTTTCCGTTTTTCAGTTAATGTATTTACCTCATCGGAGTCGCTACTCCGACGATATCGGCTTCAAAACGACGATGATGGATTTTTCTCTCCTTAGATAGTGTTTTCCAAGTGGTGTTTGTTTGATAAAGGGAAGGTAAAGAAGCTAAGGGGGTAAAAGTGTAACTTTGATTCTTTTTAGGGCGACCTTTAGCAATTTTAAGGGCGACCTTTAGCAACTCCCATATAATACACCAGGACACAAATGGAATATTTGAAAAAATAGGACACGTGGTATTTTGATCATAGTTCGGGTGTTGTAGTTGTATTAGCCATAAATTATATAAGAGCTCATCTATTGCAAGTGTCTCTATAGCTACCTCATCAATTTGCATCCTCATCGAATTTGCACTCTCGATTTTGCACCCCTTCTTGTTGCCAAACATAGTGTAAAGACAACTTATCGCTTGTATAAGTCGTCTAAGCAAATACTTCATTCAAATTTCGAGTACCACTTAAATTCTACGCAACAATATATGCTTAATAGATTATATTCACTATAGTGGAAGTGTAACGAATAGGGGTGGGAAACAGTGCGATTGCGGTTAACTGAACCGCAATTTACGGTTAAACGCAATCGCAAACTACCCATATTAACCAACCGCGTTCGGCACGATTAGCGGTTAACCAATAATCGCAAAACACGGTTAACGGTGCACCACGGTTACTGGAGGTAAAAATCGAATCAACCGCATCTGCGTACCAAACCGTGGTTAAGCAAAAAACCGCATACAACCATAGGGCAGCAGAGCAGATGTGGAGACTGGAAGTGGAGATCGACGGGCGACGAGTAGGGTGTGGAGAGCGACGAGCAGAGAGTGTAGCCTGAGTCAGCAAACAGAGCAGGCCGACGAGCAGAGAGGTTATGAGAAGAGCAGTCGAGCAGAAGCAGACGCGAATGTCGCGCCGGCGCCGCGGCGCCACCTTGAGTAAGCGGGGCGACATCAACATAGTGACAAGGGCAGGGACGACAACGGGGGGATTTGTGGTCGTCGACGGCGGGAGGGGTAGCTTGGTTAGGGACTTAGGGTTTTCACTTTCAGTCTTTCAGTTTCAGAGTGGGTCTAGGAACTAGGAAATGGAATTGCCAATTGCAATTCGCATTTCGCAAAGCCGAAGGGGGAAGGGGCCGGGTCAGGTTGGGTCGGGTAGGGTTGGGGTTTGTGACTTTGGGCTGGACTGGAAATTGATTGGGCTAATTTTTCGCGGTTAGCATTGCGGTTAGAGCTATTTGCGGTTTCGGTTGCGGTTAAATTGCAAACCACAAAACAACCAATATCTCTAACCGCGACCGCAAAATAGGTTGTTTTTTGCAGTTTGTAGTTAACGAATAACCGCGCAATTTCTGTGCGGTTATCAGTTTAATCTACGGGTGGGAATCGGTCGGTAAACGGTAAACCGTTTACCGAATTTACCGGTTTCGGTATACCGAGGGTGGCCAAACTGTTTACCGTTTACCGATACCGATTTATAATCGGTTTACCGATTACCGAATTACCGGTAAACAGTTACAAACCGGTTTACCGAATTACCGCAAAGGACGACGTGGGGCGGTTTTTCGGTTCGGTTTACCGACCATTTACCAAATACAACACTAACAATTGCAATTTCCAAGAAAACCTCTAATAATATTTTGTCACTGCACTAAAGATGATGATTTGATTGTCATAAATTAATTTATTAATCAAATTCCATTTGAAATCATTTATATTCTGGAAAGAAAAGACACACCTAATCCACACCTCCATTCTATAGTTCTTTTGGAACCTTATTTCTTTTTCTAACTACTCTCACTAGCTATGAACAGTTAAAAGAGCATACGTAAAGCACAAAAGAGAACTATATATGCATGTTTTCATGCATTAGGATCAGGAAGGAGAAGGATGGATATCATATCACATGTCATATCCTCTTCATTTTACTTTTACAGCGTAACCTCATCGATTCTCTTTTGACCATAAAGCATAACCACTGCCATGTGCAGCACGCAGACTAGTTTCAAGCTGAAGCCAAAGAAAAGCTCTACTCGATCGAGCATCTCTCCTCCTTACTCTGCCTGCAAAATGCTCCCCCACGCCAATCCCACAGCTAGCAGGTCGTACGTGACTCCTGACTTGAGAGAGTGAAACAGATTAAAGGCGCGACAAGAAAAGATAGAAAGCAAAGAAGGAGAACAATGAAGTTGATGGTTATATGGCAGGAGCAATAGTCGTCATATTGATCATCATGGCAAGAAGCGGTGAGAGCTCAGTCCTTGAGAAGGTCGGAAGCAGAAAAGGATGGATCCCAAACTTCAACTATACTCAATGGTCGTTTTGGGGGGTTCGGTATCGGTATTACCGATTTACCGTCGGCAATTACCGATACCGGATTCGGTATACCGACCCACTCATTTCGCATCTCGGCCGCCGATACCGCCGGTAAACGGTTCGGTAAACCGGTAAACCGTTTACCGGCATACCGATTCCCACCCCTAGTTTAATCGCAAAACCACAACCGTTTTCCCAGCCTTAGTATCAAAAGAAGAAAACAAAAATAAATTGGGGAAGAAGAAAAATGTAGTGTGATCTTGCTAATTTAGCAATTTCACCCGTGTAGATGTTAATATCACCCTGAGGAATCACCAAGTTTTGGCGATACAGATGGTCTTAAAGACGCAGTAGACAATTGGGCTGGGGAAAGTGCGGCGGAAAACCTGATTAGTTCCCAGGTTGCACTGTTCCGTTCTCTCATTTTCGATTTTCACGCAGTACTGATATGACCAGATTCTAAAATCCATAAAATTGGCAGACAACTTCAAACTGCAGCGAAAGCAACAATCAGTTCTTAACATCACCATTATTGTTCCTCCAATAACTCTGATAGTTGCAACTACAGTTGCTTAGTATCCATGCATTCCTCTTGCTCTGACTTCATCACTTGCTGCAGAAATATGTTGCCTGTTCCGGGATATACGCTCTCGACACTACAACCATGTACCCTGTCCATAACTCTCAGCATGGCAATCTGATGTTCAAATGCCAGACCAGAACACGAACAAAATTGGCAGTCCAAAGTCACAATCGCTAACGTTCAACCATCCGTCAAGCTCTAACCACTCTTCAGAGGATCGATCAACTACCAGAAATTAACGAACAACGGTTCAGGGAAGTTACTATATTATCAACAGTTTAGCTCCAATTTCAAAGTCATGGAAACATCGACATTCAGAGAGAGCGGTATGCGGAGGGGAAAAGCCATGTAAATCAATTTCCAACATCCAGACCTTTAAGCCACATTTAAACACACGTTGAATAAGAATGACAGCAGTCCATATCAGCAAAGGAAATACCGTGAAAAGCAATATGAATGTTTAGAAGCAGTCTAAACGGATCTGATCCTGCCATTCAAGCTTTAATTGGCTCATCGTCATCTTCAATATCCCAACTCAAATCCTCTTCTTCTTCCTCTTCTGCAACACTCAGTCTCTTCCTCAACTCCTCCTTGGTTGCATTACTCCCACTCTGACTCACTCTCCTCTCCTCTTTCTTACTATCGTCAATGCCGCTTAGATCCTCAATCTCATCCCACCCAAGATCTTCTTCCTCTGCTGCCGTCTGGTGGCTTGACACTACCGAGTAATCACTGTCTTTACAAGACCCTCCATTGCCACCATTTCCTTCAGAACCTGAATTCTCAGCAGATTTCTCATCCTCCTTAATTTCATCTGCTTTCTCACTAGATGCCACATTACCACTAGCAGTTGCAGAACCTGGGCTGTTTACTACTTTCGGCTCTACAACTGTTGCAGCACCAGCAGCAGTTACCTCCTTTGCATTTTGCACAATTTCCTCAGACTTTTCATCACCCATTTTCTTATCCTCAACAGGGTTCTGCTCTACAGGCTTAATCGCATCCGATTTCCCAACTTCCATAGAATAATCTTTGGTCTTCAGCTCTTGATTTTCCTCTACATCGCCCTTTGACTTTTCTTTGCCTTTACTCGCCTTGCTCTTCCGCTCCTCACTTTCATCATCATCGTCGTCATCATCCACATCCCAACTCAAATCCTCTTCTTCAGCAGAAATGGCTCGCTTCACAAGATTGGCTCTCAAAGCCTCGGCTTGCTTGAGCTTATAAATCCTATAGTAATACCTAGCCCAGAACGTTTCTTCATCAACGCTACCAGGCACAACTTTCTTATATATAGCATCCAGCGTACCATTTTCTTCAAGCAGGCTCTCGATCTCGTCCCGGTTGTCCTGAAGGGCGAACTCCCACGACCTCCACTTGCCGTAATCTTCCATATCTTCCGGCTCGTCGCAGAAAGTGCTGGCATCACCTTGAATGGCACTGACCTGCGCGTCGAAGCGACTGTACCGCCTCGAATCGTAGCTGCTGCTCTGGCCAGCGGCGCTGCTTCCTCTGACATCGATGTCAGAGGAATCGGATTCGTGGTCAAGGGAGAGGATCGCTTCTTTGCCGTGTGAAATGATCTGGGCTGTGCCTTTAATCACGGAGGTTCCGATCTCGTCGAAGGCCTGTCCGACGTTCTCGAGGGATCCCTGGGCGACCTCGATCTCCTTCCGCAGGCCGGTGCTGAATTCCTGGAGATCCCGGCGGTAGGTCTCAATGACGGATTCGGATTTGGTGGTCAGTGTGCGGATCAGGCCGCCAAAGTTACTCCACCCACTGCCGCCGTCGCTAGGGTTGGAGTGCGGCTGTGTTGGTGGAGACTCGGAGTCGGAATCTGAGTTCGATTGGTGTTCAGGGGAAGTTTCGGCGTCGGACGCGGACTTGGGAGGAGGGGGATCGGGTTCGTCGGTAAAGACCGATCTGAAGAAATCCATTAGGTGAAATTGAAATGAAAGACGGGAAGAGCTTGGAGAGGGCGGCCGACGGTGAGTGAGGTAGGACTGATAAAAGGGAATCGGTGGATAATCGGGGATGGATCAAAGAGTAGAAGATACGAGTACGACCTCAAAAGTGACGGTGGATCGTTGGAGTTAGGGTGAACGGCTCGACATTCGATTCGAGAAAAACTTGTTCGAGACTCGATTCGTCTTAATTGAGCGGGCTCGCGAACAAGCTCGTTAATTAAACGAGCCGAACTCGAGCTCTACCATGTTCAGCTTGAAGGCTCGCGAACAAGCTCGTTTAACGGCTTGGCATCCGAAAATATTGGAATTCATGGATTTTATGTATTGAAATTGGGACAAATATTGTGTTTTGTTTTGGTAGACTTTACTACAGGTTTGAATGTAATTTTATGCTCAATTCTACTTCAATCTTGAGCTAAAATGAACATTTAATGTGTTGAACTCGATTTTGGGCTCGTTAAACTTATTTGGCGAGCAGAGCTCAACCTTTCATTTTCATAAACGAGCCGAGCTCGAGCTTGCATATTAAAGCTAGTAACGAACACGAGCCGAGCTCGAGCCTGAAAATATATTAACTAGCCGAGCCCGAACTATGGCAAAGTTCGGCTCGACTCGGATCATTAACAACCCTAGTTGAAGTGCTTGCCTCCAAGCAAAAGCGCCACCAATTTTCAGATCAGACCGGTTTGTTGATGAACCGGTGCATTTTCCCCTGATAACACCCCAAGTTCGCTGGAAGTTGCATTTCCTCCGGAAGAATTTTTAAACCTTCCTTTCGTATTGCTTGGCTTGTGAGGATGTCTAAACGGCAACCCCAAGATCCTTTTGGATTGCCTAATTGTTTTCTTGTTTTGCTGGTTGCTTCTGCCTGTTGATGGAGCTTTATGGCTTTCTGAAAGGAAAGATTTCGGGTACATTGTTTATCTGGCCTTTTGGACCGAGTGATTTGGAAGGCCGATGAATTTTCTGTTTGGTACCTTTAGCGGCCGGTTGGATAATCCTCGATAAGGAAGCGTTTTGCTTGAGATTATAGAAGCAAGGATTTTGGCATAGTTGTTTTTAATCTACACAATAAATAAAAGCCAAATGAGAAAACTTGAAACCCCATTTCAAATTTCCTGCATCCAGAGTGAAAGTAGGAAGGACATTTTGGTCTTCACAATTACTTTTTTTATTCATTAAAAAGACACTTACTAGAATTCGAACCATGACCATTTTAAAGAAAAACAAAGATCATAACCAATCACACTAAGTACATTTGTTGTATCTTTTTAAATTAAAAACATATAATTGCAGAGAGGAAAAAACCCTTCCCCCATTTCAAATTCCCTGCTCCAGGAGCGTTTGTAGGAAGAGTAGAGTAGGGAGTGTCAATTTTTTTCTTTTTCCTCTGTGGAACGGCCCAACTTACCGTACACATGCGGATTTAAACGGGTCCAGGAGTGTCAATTTTTTTCTTTAAGTCCTTTTATTTCTCCGTAGTGGTAAAATATATATATGAAAAGGAAAAAACAATACTCCTTTTTATTGCTAAAAAGAAAAAAAATAACAATAAACTAATGCATGGATTCTAATGGGCTAACCGCTAATCATAAAATAATAGAGTTGAATGGGTCTGACCTACACGGGATTTGCCCATCAAGTAAAACAAATGAACATCATGGGTTTGCCATTCTAAAATAAACTATTTTCTCTAGCATAATATATATTATACTATTATTTTATATCTTAGTGGCTAAAATATAATCGATTTTAAAGTTATTCAATGGTACAACCTCGACCAACTCAAGTAGTCCAATTTTTATCATTTCAAATATATATTATGTAATTATTTGATATCATAATGATTAAATTATAGTGTATATTATAGGGAATGGTTTGGTATTTGTTAGTTAAAAACTAAACAGAAAGATCTATTTGGTTATTTTTAACATTAAAACGATCCTAAACATTTTCAGTTTCCTTTCGAAATTCTATAGTTTTATTCCCGAATCAGTGATGTGCAAATGGTGAATTGCAGTCATCTCTTTTTTTTCATTATTTTGTATTTTCAAATATAAAGTTTAAAAGTAAAGAATAATTAGAGTTTGGCATGAGTCGGTCAAACAGGCTGAATTTCAAATTTTTGCCCGTTTTGATCAAGTCTAATTTATAATCACATGGTTCCCTGATACCCTATAAAAATCTCAATCCAAACCAGTTTGGCAGGTGAGTCCGTGTTTACCACCATTTTCTAGGGATACAGGAAAGTTGGTTCCTATCCCAAATCGTGCTGTTCATTCTTGATTTCTTTAGATTTTATCATGGCTTGGCAAAAAACCAGAAAGCACAATGATGAGAAGATGAAAGTTTTATAAAGCAAATTAATCGGTCAACGGGCCGAGTAAAAGCTAGCAACGATTGTGAGATGCTCATTTCCCGAAAACCGGCGGGATAGGCGATTTTTTATTCGATTTTCTGGAATTCGGTTTCTATAAAACTTACTCCACCTCATCATATTACCAGAAACAATATTGTTTCACAAGGTAACAGGTACTTGATTTTGGTTCATAAGGTTAATTTTTGATTCGTTGCATCATTCATGTCTCTTTTCTACTAAAATTCACTATTTTTATCACGTGTTTCCCAAAAAAATAACTATACAACAATAAGCTATACACCCCATTATATTATCAAATTTCATACCTCATCTTCGTCCGGCCAAATGGCCGGGGCCCACGCTAGTATTTATAGATATTTGGCCATTTGTGGTTATGTGTTTGTTCATTTTGCAGGTCCAGTTGCTCATATGGCTGCCCATCTTGTGCAAAACAGGCACTTTCATCGGCAGTTCGACTATTTGTCGACTACCGCACGATTTTATTTTCTATTCTTTGACTCTGTATGGGCCAGGAATTTACATGGCTATTGTATATGTTAAAAAAATTGTCAAGCGAAATGGTTCAATGGTTTACATCGGTTTTAATAAAATATGTAAAGAAGTGGAAAATTATTAACACTAAATAAATTTAGGGTTCAGGTTAGTGTACGCCCGGGCGTACGCTAAACTTGTCGTAGGCCCATTTTGCTATTTAAATCTTGAATTAGTCAGAGTTTGGGGTATGATACTATATCCTAACATCTAATGAGTGAACCCCAGTCCTTAAATTTTTAACCCAAATTATGAGATTTCTTTAATCTTGAAATAAAAATCAACGATAATTTCAACGAATCAGAATCATTGATTTTCATTTCAATATTTTTGGTTTAGTGAATTGAGTATTGGCGTTCAAGTATTAGTGGTTAGAGAATAGTATTATGCCCCAAACTCCAATTAATTTATTGTCTAAATACCAAAACTCAAAGGGCGTACGGTAAGGCCCAGGCGTACGCTTGCCTTTGCCATAAATTTAGACATATATTTAACATATTTGAAGATAATCTCTCCAAACTTTATATACATATTTAAATAAAATACAACATTCCTAACAAAATAAAAATTCTTCATATTTGAATATAATATTTAATATCAAAATAAAAATATGTATACTTTTTCTTACACATTGGGTGGTAAGGAAATCTCCCCCTCTCAGCTTCCAGATCCAATAAACAAGAAAAAACCTTCATAGCAACAACAAACAAATATGGGGAGAGAGTGTCTCCCTGCCTCAAACCTTGTGTTGCAGGGGAAGTATCCCACTAAGCCCCCATTAAAAGCAATGCTCAACATAGGACTTGTGACACACATCCTAATCCATTTAATGAACTAAGCAGGTACCCCCATGGCTTCAAGCACAACAAAGAGAAAGTGCCAATTCACAGAATCAAACGCTTTCATAATATTAATCTTCAATGCTAACTTAGTGGAAATGTTCTTTCTAGAATACTTATGCACTAGCTCAAGAGCCAGTAGAATATTCTCCCCAATAACCCTCCCTTTTACAAAAGCAGTCTGGTTTTTACTAATTACTAGGGGCAGGAGGGAACTAAATCTATTTGCCACAATCTTTGATATGCATTTATACACTATATTGCAGCAAGAAATAGGCCTAAAAAACTTCATCTCATCTGGGTTTTGGACCTTAGGAATCAGAGCAAGGATAGTAGCATTTACCTCTCTTGGAATCTTCCCAGTCACAAAACAATTCTGAATGGCACTTGTAATTTCAGCCCCAATAACTCCCCAAGATGCTTGAAAGAATCTAGCTTTATATCCATCCGGGCCTGGACTCTTATCTCCATTAAAGCTGAACATAACATCTTTTACCTCACTAGCAGTGATATGAGCACAGAGAGAAGATACCTGCTCAGAATTGATCTTGTGCCTTAGCAGACCCTTAAAGAAATCCACTAATTCAATCTCAACATGTGGATTCTCCCTTCCCAGCAGAAGCATATAGAAATTGATAGCCACTTGACACATACCTTCAACAGAAGTGACTGAGTTCCCCTGAGCATCCCTAAGAGAAGTTATAGTATTTCTTTTGAGTCTAGTTCTCATAGAGCGATGGAAGTAACCAGAATTTGTGTCTCCAACCTTTAGCCACAACTCTCTAGATTTCTGTCTCAGAAAACTTTCCTCAACTTTAATCAGATCAAACAATTACTTAGAAACCCTTACTTCAACCTCAAAACTCATCTGAGAAGGACTCGAAAGGGCAGCCAGTTGAATAGATTCCAGTTCTTTCTCTTTTTCTCTTACTCTCCCCCTTATGTCAAAGAACTCCTCCTTGTTGAGCTTCTTAAGCAGACCTTTGAGTATCCTGAGTTTCTTATAAACCCTTATCAAAGGAGAACCTTCCACAACTTCAGTCCAAGCCTGAGCAAGTAACCCCCTCATACATTGGATGCTCTAGCCAGAAGTTGAAAATTTTAAATGGCTTAGGCAGTGACTTAAGAGGGAACTCGGTTTGAATATAAACCGGGCAATGATATGAAACACCAGGAGACTGTGTTTGCACTACACTATGCTTCATCACTTCTAACCAATCCAAATTGACAAACGCCCTGTCAAGTCTTCTAGCAATGGGGTCATTTTGCCTCTTATTGAGCCATGTAAACCATGGCCCAGTAGATTTGTGCTCCTCCACCTCAATTTCCCTTAACCAGTCATTTAGAGACTTCATACTAGCAGAATACTGAGGATTATTTGAGCCTTCACTCGGATCTCTGATAGCATTAAAATCTCCAACCAGAATCCAGGGAAAATTACCCACTTTGAATCGATTAACATCAGCATAAAGCCCTTCCCTCTGAATCTCACTATTAGAAGCATACACAAACGTGGCAAAAAAATGGAGCCTTGCCTCCAATTAGAGCATGAACAAACTGATCAGAGCTGTCTATGATAGTCAACTGAATCTCAGAGCTCCAAACTAACCAAATTTTCCCCAAACCTTCATCATTGAATAAGATTTCCTGCCCCCACCCTGCAAATCTCTTTTGCTTCAACTTCTTTGCTTCTAGTCTACTTACCCGAGGCTCCAAAATAGCAACAATGTCTAAACTATATTTATTTATCTTATTTAATATAGCTGTATATTTCTTATCCGCAACAAACCCTCTTGTGTTCCATGAGAGGATCTTCATCTACGACCCTTACCTCTCCCTCCACCTTTCCCCCCTTTCTTCTGTTATCCCTAATATCTGGAGGATCAATCCAGATCTTCTTACCTTTGTCAGGATCACTTGGAGGGATTCTATTCTCCTTATCAAGGATGGCAAATCTGGATCCAGTCTGAATAACTCGAGCAGTCATCTGAGGCAACAAGCTCCCCTCAACAGAAGGTGACTTACTACCAACAGACTGTTGCATAGGCGTGTTAGGGCTCCCAGCAGCAGCTGATGACCCCTTCATTACCTCAGCAAAACTGGCTCAAGCTCCCCCATTTGATGAAAGGGAGACCACATCCTCTGTAATTAGACCCTGCACAAGATCCCCCACAGGCGAGGCCTGTCCAATTACCTCATCAGCCAAGCTATCCATTACACATTGAATCACAGACTCTTGCACTTGATTAAGAATGTCTTCAATAGAATCGGACACTGAATTCTCCACAACATTCACCGGAGCAATTGAATCCTCTCTATGTGCCATCTCAGTATTCTTTGACACCTTAGGAATCCAAACCCGTTGCGGGCCCTCCTCACAATTACGCCCAAACACACAACACTTAGAGCACACCTTCGGGAGATTGCTATACTCAATTCTAATATCAAAGGGAGGATCCTCGTCTGGGTAAAGCCTAATAGAGGATGGAAAGGAATAATCAGCAGCAAGCTCAACACACGCCCGAGCAAACCCTAACTGACCTCCAACCCTCGTCTTTTGATCCATCCAAAACGGTCGCCCTATCATACTCGATGCCCATTCCAACCCTTCCGGAGCAAGATATTCAAGAGGAAGACCCCAGATTCTCACCCAGATCTGCAATGTCTCAATCTTAGGAACAATTAGTTGAATACCTGACTTCCATTTGCGAAAGAAGACAGGGTTGCCTCTAAAATGCCATGGCCCTGACTGGAAAACCCAATCGCACGAAGCAGCAGAAGGGAACTGAAACACCAGGAGCTTGGTCCCAAACTTCGACACTCTGACAATGCCATCCCGCCCCCAGAGAGCATTCGCCCAGGATTGCAGCTCCGGTACTTTTGGCCGAGTCCCAACGAACTGTCCAATAAGAGAGTTCTTCCACCGCTCCGCTCCCTTCTCCTTCACCTCTTTCGGTAAACGGAAACCATCTTGAAACTTGATCGGTGGACGATATTGGAGCCGATTCTCCGGAGCAACCTCAAATAGCTGCGCCCAAGAACTGCCCTCGCCAACCGGAGCAGCCGACGGCGAGGCTGACATCGGAACCCTAGAAAACCAGAAAGAGGAGAGAGGGGAGAAGTGAATAAATCTTAAGAATTCCCGTCACATCTATTAGCAAGTAACTTAATTAATGTTAAGGGAAAGGGAAAAAAACACAAAAAAATAATAATTAAAGGATAATGTCTATTTATTACCGAAACCTTTTTTTCGAATTCTTTTATTTTAGTCTAATCTATTGAAATACTAAAAATTAGCCAAACATTTTGTAACACGTCAAAGTATTAGTCATTTCTACATTATCGTTGATAATTTTGTAATTCTTTTCTTTGTTCAAATACTAAAATTTTGAAATGTTGACCTCCATGTGTCTCTTTCAAGTTAGTATCATGTTGACAAGTCAATATTACTATCAAAATTGCTAACCGGATGTTAACATTTGGCTAATTATTAATAATTCAATAAATTTGGCTAATAAAAAATAATCTGAAAAAGATTTGACAAATAAATAGTCATTACCCATAATTAAAGCATTTTCCGCCAAAGTAATGTAAAAGGGGAATGAAAAAATGAAAATTTTGCCAAAAACATTAATAATTAAAAGCATTTTCGGCCAAAACAATGTAAAAGGGGACTGGAAAATTTAAAAATTAATAGTATAGGGGAATCAAACACTCATCCCCGTAGATTAGGTCTGGACAATCGATTACCGGTTAGCGGTTAACCAACCAGTTACAATCGAAACTGATTGTCCACTAACCAAAAATCGAGATAATCGAAAGTCGGTCGGTATTCGGAGGGATGGCCGGGATGATTTTGGCCTTAGGGGCAGCTCGATTAACCGCTACATTATATTGCATACAATTGTTTAAATAATCTTTCTCGGTTTATTATTAATTTGGACAATTCTCGACAAATTTCAATGTAACTTCCAAAATTCTCGAGGGTAGCTCCTACATAGCTCCGCTACTGCCTAATTTAGTGATTTTATGTATGATTAATGCAAACTACCCACTGACCAAGCAAAACAAACGATGTCAAATTGCAACTTTTAAAAGCTAAAAAAGATGAAGATAAGTTATTTAAGAGGGGCGGATGATTGAAGAAGAGCTTACCTAGCTATCAGAGTACGACATACCACGAACATGTTTATTTTCATGTTGCTCTGCCATGCCATCAGAGCAAGGGCGGGTGGAAGTGGCTAGCGAATGACATCTGATTTGTCCACCATAATCCATATCCTCTGTTTTCGTGGATGAAACAATGTTTTCTTCTAACTACCGAATCTTCTCTAAATAGTAAATAATAGTGAGATATGTTTCCCCGTATTTTGGCCTTATCCAGTGTTGAAGTAAAATACTTGAATACTCTGCAACCAGAAATCAACCTTCCTTTTCTAATCTCCACATATATAAGAATATATGAACGCAGATTGCTCTATTGGGATATTGGTTATGAACAAGAGTCAACATACAAAGATTAAACGGAACGATTTGGATTCAATTTGAGAGGCCCTTCACAAAATTACAAGCAACAAAATTTCCAGCTTTCGAAAGCCGTTTATTTATTCGGTGAAAGAACAGAGGACCGATGGCGGCGTTACAGTATGGATCTTCATGTTCTCATGAAGTTGAATCATGTTTTAGTGTTTCCTCAAGAGGAGAGCACGGAGCTGGGCAGCGTCGATCTCTTCGGCAACATTCTCGGGTCGGTAGAAACCGGTGCGCGGGTCAGGAACCCAGCTGCTCTTGCTCGCTTCCCCTGTTTTCTTCACCATTCCGCTCGTTGCGGCGGTTACAGAAGAAGAGCCCCCCTTCCCTGCCGCGGCATTTCCGGCAGTTGCGGCGGCGGCGGAGAATCCTCTCCCGCCGGTGATTGCCTTTGTGACCGCGGCTGAGATGAGCTTGGCGCCGGAGATGGAGCGAGCCATTGTTGTGTTTCTATTTGCGAATCGAAAGATCGAAAGCTTGTTTCTTTCGAGAAACTGGGCTTCTGGGTGAGATGGGTAGAGACTTTGATTTTGAAGAGGGAGGGTTTCTCTTGTTATGTTTGGGGGTAATGAGGTAAGAAGAGGCTGCGCCATTTTTATAGAGGCCGGAACTGGAAGAGAAGCGCCTGGAAGCTGCTGCTGCTGCTGCTTCCGTGAAGGTGAAGGAGACCGCGTCTACTACGGAAGGAAATATCTGCCTTCTCGCGCTCTTTTGACCACATCAATATATGTGAACCAATAATTAACGAACAAAAACGCCCGATTTGATATATTGTGCAGGGACTTTTTTTTTTTTTTTTGTAAAATGGCATTTTAAAATCTGTATGATTTTTCTACCAAAAGGAATTTCATATTGTTAGCAAATATTAGAAAGCAGGAGAAAACCCGACAAAATTGATCGTTTGGACCGAACTATATCGAAGCTAATATAATATAATTCGAAAATCGATTTCATAAATTTTATAAATATAGAGAATTAAATCAAATTTATATTTAAGTCTGATCAAATTGAATCGAATAAAATGATAATTCAATTCTGTATTCTAACATTTCTTCTACTATTGACTAGCGATTATCATGGTTGCACTTAGGACTGGAAATCGGTACGGTATCGGTATCCCAATACCAAATACCAAAATCCCGAATACTGAATTACACCCTAAAATCGATCTCAATCCCAATCCCTAAATAATTTCGGTATCCCAATCCCAATCCCTAAATATTTTGGTATACCAATCGGTACTTCGGTATCCCATTCGGTATTATCGAATAAAAAATTAATTGAAATTAATAATTAAATATATAAATTAGATTGGATCGTTTAATTTAGGGCAAATAGACTAAGCAAAGAGTCTTGAGTTTTCCTAGAGCTAGGATATGGGTAAGGAGAATGGAGTAGAGGTGACATCTCAAATTCTTGTCATTGGTAATCTCAAATTTGACGAATTGGAGGCTGAGAGACGACTAATACTAGTGTTTGCTTTTTGGTTTTATGGAAAATAGCAAGAGAATAGCACTTCAAAATGAATCTCAATTCCAATCCATAAAAAATAAGCCGATGTTCGATTATATCAAATAATAATAAATTTAATACTTTATTCGGTATATCTCAAATACCATTATCAAACTTCCCACCTTAATTGCACTTGCACCTTGTTTTTTTCTTTTTTTCTTCTTCTTCTGGAAAGTAAAGAAAACAGAACCTCATATCAGCCATATATTACCATCAGTAGGACAAGTGGCGGCATATCACGTGATGAGGAAAGACGACCGCGCCTTATTTGTCTGTCCCTCATTTCCTTTCCATTCCTTTCCTTGTCTGGCTTTTTTCATTTTCATGAATTTCCCATCTCCTTCCCCGCGAGCTGGCCTCACATCTTCCTATGCTAATCAATTAACTCAAGTTGCGAGAAGATTGAAAAGCCAATTTTATATTTACGTGACTCCAATCGTACCAGAAGAAATTTAATGTACCATATATTCTTGACAAGAAAACCTTGTTGGCTTGTTTAGATTTTGAATTAACAGAATTGGGGCATGATAATCTACCCTTAACCCTTAATATATGTGAACACTAGTTATTAATTATCTAAATCATAAACCATATACACCAAGATTTTGTATATAACTTTTTAAATGTATTTCAACAAATCATGACCATCTATTATTGTTTCTAATTAAATTGATCTAAAGTGAGATTTATAAAATTTAGATTTAGATTTTAATTTTTAAAGGTTATGTATATTATCATTCCCCCAAACTCTAGTCAATTCAAGGTCTCTATATATATGTTGCCTTCTTACACGGGGTAAAAGTTGGACAATCGCATACTCTTGGTAAGAAACGTTATTTATAATTAAATTGTTGATTATTATTTATAATTAAATTGATCTTGGTGTATAAGATATATAGAAAAAAAATTGATCTTTAAAGGTTAGAGTATAGTATTATCAATTATGTCTCAAACTCCGGTAAATTCAAGATGTATATATCATTTTCTTACCAAGATTATGCAATACTTCAACTTTTACCCGGTTGACGATAGAACTATATATATGGGGAGTTTTATTGTTCCCTGGGTGAAATTAAGAATATGTCGTATCTTGGGTTATCGTCACCGTACGTATCATCTCAACAGTCATCATACTTTTTTCTTATTAAATGACTTATTAATTATAAATATCATAACAAAAAGACTCTTGCAATATTAATTGTATTCATTCTAGTCCAACAAACGTCCATGGTTCGGTTGGTTTAGTGTTTTAATGACCATATACACCAAGATTTTGTATATAATTTTTAAAATGTATTTTAACAAATCATGACCATCGATTATTGTTTCTAATTAAATTGATCTAAAATGAGATTTATAAAATTTAGATTTAGATTTTAATTTTTAAAGGTTATGGTATATTATCATGCTCCAAACTCTAACCAATTGAAGGTCTATATATATATATATATGTAGCCATGTTTTTGCACACACATTTATTTGATATATATGCTCTTCCTCCCAGTGGCGGAGGGAGAGGGTTAGAGGGTGGGTCTCCGAATCCACCTTGGCTCGAGAGAAAAAAATGATAGATTACGTATACTAGTTAATCGGGTATGAAGATCGAGTCTTCACAGACAAAGTTGCTACAGCTTTTCTACAACACGTCCTGGCTTGGATAACTGTCGTGAGGAATGCCTTGGCCAAAGACAGGCTCGTTGACTCGCTGTTACTGTCACTCTAGAAATTGGCCAAGTGTAACCACTTCCTAAAGCGTAGTATAGCGGGCTGGGTTTTAATGTCAACCCGGGTCCTATATGTGATGACTACTCAGTGAATTCGTATTATCTAGCAATGAAACTTTAGTGAAGTTCTAAACTAACAAGCAAACAAAACAACTAAACGGTTGTATTCAGGTTAAGAGAGGTCACCCGGATATGGTTCCCCCTAGACTGCAGTTAAGCCGGATTGTAATTGCCAAGTTCGATTTCTATGATAGTTATACTGCGGAAGGTTCTCAAACAGTCTGAAGTCTCGACTAAAGGTCTTCAGACCCTCTCAATCTGAGTCTCTAGCTGGCGACTAACCTACACCGGAGTAAACAGATTGAGGCCCTATGAACAAAACCTCCACTACCGAATTGAATTCGGTACAGAATAGTGAACTGGCTCCTCGACTAAAGTCACCAATTCACTACCTTCGATTAAGGATACTCTATCAACCTAGGCAGATATTATCATTCTAGGTTAAAGCAGAAACAACAGGAATTTGATTGTTTTTCTTTCTTCTTTTTGCTTGTTTTTCTGTTTTTCTCAAACAGTCTGAAGTCTCGACTAAAGGTCTTCAGACCCTCTCAATCTGAGTCTCTAGCCGGCGACTAACCTACACCGGAGTAAACAGATTGAGGCCCTATGAACAAAACCTCCACTACCGAATTGAATTCGGTACAGAATAGTGAACTGGCTCCTCGACTAAAGTCACCAATTCACTACCTTCGATTAAGGATACTCTATCAACCTAGGCAGATATTATCATTCTAGGTTAAAGCAGAAACAACAGGAATTTGATCAGGATTCAAGTCATTCAATCATTCAAACCTCAATCGAATATAATCAAATCATAGAATCAATACTTGGGTTCATACAATCAAACCTAACATACAGAACTAGGGTTTCCCATACCCAGATGAATGGGAGAACTACGCCATGGAGAAAGAAGCAAAAGCAGAATCAGACGCGGAAATCATACTGTGAAGATGGATTTCTGCTCCTAGACGTTGAATCGGCACTTCTCCAAGCTCAAGCCAAGCTCCAATGGTGTTGAAGATCGATCTAAGGCACTTGGAGGCTCTTGTTCGTCGCTTTCTCTCTCTAGGAACGCTCTGTCTCTCAAAAACTCGAATCCCCTTCTGTTTGGCTCGGAATCCGCTTAAAAACCAGACTTTCCCGACTCGCACGGCCAGGGTGCACGGCCGTGCACATCACCATTCTGGCCGTGCACCTCAAAACGCGGCGTACCATTAAGTCGAGCTTCAGCCATCGCGCACGGCCAGGATTGCACCTTGCACGGCCGTGCGGATTTCCCTTGTGCCCGTGCGTGCCCACGCACAATCCCGCACGGCCAAACTGGTCAGTTGCACGGCCGTGCGTGGCCACGCACAATCCCGCACGGCCAAACTGGTCACTTGCACGGCCGTGCGGGTTGTGGGTGTGCCCGTGCGACTTCCTCAGAACCTCGCCATGCGTCCGATCCTCATCCAATCGACCTCAAACTCGCTCCCAAGCCTCCATTCACGTACTAGGACCTGAAATATCATAAACAAGCACAACCTAGCGTGAAATCGGCCTAAAACACGAGAATCAATACCTCAAACGGAGTAAGAGCAGGGGTAAAAACATGTGTAACTAACGGTCTATCACTCGTTCATACGCCTAGTCTGCCCACTAGAATGGAGGTTGAGATCTCATGTAAGCCACCACCTCCCGAGTGGGTTACTCTCAATTCAGACGGCTCCATCATTCCTGAGTCAGGTCATGCTGCAGCAGGTGGCCTGATTCAAGATCACACAGAATGTTGCCTTGCATCATTCGCTTGTAACTTGGGTGTTTGTTCTATAACCCGAGCATAATTGAGAGGCGCTGTAGAAGGTCTTCAGCTAGCCTGGGAGCGTGGTTTTTGACGAATTCGGGTAGAGCTTGATTCACAATGTGCGTTTCAGCTGCTTCACAACCCGGATCGCACAGATCTCCACCATGATGCCATCATCTATGATAGTTATACTGCGGAAGGTTCTCAAACAGTCTGAAGTCTCGACTAAAGGTCTTCAGACCCTCTCAATCTGAGTCTCTAGCTGGCGACTAACCTACACCGGAGTAAACAGATTGAGGCCCTATGAACAAAACCTCCACTACCGAATTGAATTCGGTACAGAATAGTGAACTGGCTCCTC